TCGAGTTTCCAACAAACATACAACAACACAAGGTTTCGCAACACTGATTTGCTGAAAAAGCTTACGCGCTCTTGCGACATCTTGAGAAAACCATAGGTTTTTTTCAAGATTTTCACAAAATGCTACCAAACGGGCTTCGCGCGCGCGCATGTCGAAATCTGTCGAACGCCCTTGCGCGTGTGCCGTCGCGAGAATCCTCTGCAAACAGTGGGACGAAGTGCAGACGCGCGCGTCGTCGCGCGCGTATGCCGAAATCCTTCAAAACCCATCGGTTTCGGCAGGATGTCAAAATCGTGTGTCCCAAAAACCTACAACAACACAAGGTTTCGCAACACGGATTTTCAACAAAAGCGTGCACGCGCACTCTTGCGTCTCGTCGTCGTCGTCGTCGTCACCGTCCTCCCTTACTCCCGCGTCGTCGTCGTCGTCGTCGTCGCCGTCGTCGTCCTCTGTCTTTCCTCGTGTTCGTCGTCGTCGTCCTCTTTGGCGTCGTGGTCGTTTCCGTCGTCGTTGCCGCCGTGGTCGTCCTTCCTCCTCCTCCCTCGTCGTCGTCGTCCTCCGTCGCCGGCGTCAGATCCGAGAGTTGCGACAGTGTCTGAAGCGAAAGTGGCCCGACCACCTTGGGCCATGGGGCAGGGCATCTCCGAGGTCAGAGCTGCGAGGATGTATCTGGCGAGGGTGGCCTGACCACCTCAGCTCAGGGCGTATCGGAACCCAGAGATGCGAAGATGTCTCAGGCGAAACTGGCCGGACCACTACGGGGCAGGGCACCTCCGAGTTCAGAGTTGCGAGGACGTCTCCAGAGAGAGCGCCCAACTTTTTCAGCTCAGGGCATATCGGACGCCTGAGTTGCGAGGATGTTTCAATCATTTTAAGGCTGCTCGCTCTTATCTGCTCGAGTGTCAGTCAACGTGTATTTCCGAAACCCTCGATGCCCGCGCCCTCTTTGGCTTCGCTCATACCCCTTTTGGGGGGTATATCTGTTTTCCCTGCAGGCCGGGCCCCGGCAAGCGACGGGGCGGCCGCGGACCGTCGGCCTGGCCAACGGCAGCGCTGATCGGCGGCAGCCCGACCCCAAGAGGGACGGATAGGGGACCGATGACGACGACGACGACGACGACGGCGACGACGACGACGACGAACGAAAGCGAGAGCGACAGCGAGAGCAAGCGACAGCGGGGCCACGAAGGGCAGGAAAGGGGCCACGAAGGGCGACAGCGGGGCCACGAAGGGAATGCACATGGGGCCACGAAGGGCTGCAGTGAGCGAGGTCCACGAAGGGCAGATAATGCGGGGCCACACAGGGCAACGACGGGGCCACTGAGGGTAGCCACTGGGCCATGAAGGGCAGCGAGGGGGCCACAAAGGGCGACAGCGGGGCCACGAAGGGCATGCATGTGAGGCCGCGACGAGCGCGAACGAGCAAGGGCCACGAAGGGCATACGAAGATTGGGCCGCTGAAAACAAGGACGGGGCCACTGAGGGTAGCGACGGGGCCCACGAAGGGCAGCGAGGGGGCCACAAAAGGCGACAGCGGGGCCACGAAGGACGCGAACGAGCGGGGGCCACGAAGGGCATACATATATGGGGCCACGAAGGGCAGCGGGCCACGAAGGGCTGCAACGGGGCCACGAAGGGCTGCAACGGGGCCACGAAGGGCAGCGAGGGGGACACGAAGGCCTGCAACGGGGCCACGAATGGCAGCGAGGGGGCCACGAAGGGCTGCAACGGGGCCACGAAGGGCAGCGAGGGGGCCTCGAAGGGCTGCAACGGGGCCACGAAGGGCAGCCACGGGGCCACGAAAGGCTGCAACGGGGCCACGAATGGCAGCGAAGGGTTGAAACGGGGCCACTAAGGGCAGCGAGGGGGCCACGAAGGGCGACAGCGGGGCAACCAAAGGCATATGGGGCCTCGACGGGCGCGAACGACCGGGGGCCACGAAGGGCATACATGGGGCCAAGAGGCAGACAGCGGGGCCACTGAGGGCAGAAGAGGGCCCACGAAGGGCAGCGAGGGGGCCACGAAGGGGGATAGCGGGGCCACGAATGTCATGCGTATCGGACAAAGAAAGGCGCGTGCGAGCGGGGGCCACGAAGGGAACATAATGCGGGGCCACAAAGGGCAGCGACGGGGCCGCTGAGGGCAGCACCAGGGCCACGAAGGGCAGCGATCGAAGGCGACCGCGGAACCAGCACGGGCAGCGAAGGGCATCGAAGGCGGGCGAATGGCCGCGAGCGGCGACTGCAGTCCTCAACGGGCAGGTCGGGCGGGCAGGCCCCGACGGGCGGGTCGAGCGGGCGGGTCGTTGAAGCGTAAGTCCTGCTTGAACCGCCAGGCAATATGTATCGGGAGCGCAATTCCCGAGTGTCGAGGAGCGGCATCTGAATACATTGTCAGGGAATACCAGCGGGGCCACGAAGGGCATGCATATGGGACCACGACGGGCGCGAACGAGCGGGGGTCACGAATGGCATATAATGCATGGCCACAGAGGGCAGCGACGGGGCCGCTGAGGGCGGGCGAGGGGGCAACGAAAAGCAACGAGGGGGCCACACAGGGCGACAGCGGGGCCACGAAGGGCAATCATATGGGGCCACGACGGGCGCGAGCGAGCGGGGACCACGAAGGGCAGTGGTATACGGGGCCACAAAGGGCGACAGCGGGGCCACTGTGGGCAGCAACGGGGCCACGAAGGGCAGCGAACGAAGGCGACCGCGGAACCAGTACGGGCAGCGAGGGGCATCGAAGGCGGGGCAAGGGCAGCTAGCGGCGACTGCAATCCTTAACGGGCTGGTCGGGCGGGCAGGCCCCGACGGGCGGGTCGAGCGGGCGGGTCGTTGAAGCGTGAATCTTGCTTGAACCGCCAGGCAATCTGTAGCGGGAGCGTGGTAACTTGCCAGGAAGTCCCAAGCGACAACGCGATTCTTCAATCAAGTTTGCAAAACAAATATCAGGCGGGAGTCGCTGTTGTTGTGAACCGGGGGCCAACAACACAATTTGAGCTTCACGACTTTCCCTGATAAACAACAAGGTGCGAATCCCGGGAGGAACCCTTCAATTGAAAAGATACAATGTGCACTGGGCGGGGGGGTCAACCATATTATTCGTCAGAAATGAGAATTCAACAACAGCAGCAACCACAACAACACAACACGCCTCACCACGGATTCTCACCTCAGCCACGCACCCAAGGACATAATGACCGTTCGCCCCCCTCACAACATATATTTATAGTACAGAATCTGTATGTACTCATATCTACATATATATATATATATATAGATATGGATGATACTAGCACGTGTTAGTGTAGTATATCGTTACCAAGCCGGTATTGCCAGAAAACGCCCGCCGCCTAGCCTATCCTACCAGATTTCCGAGCGCACGTGTCAGCCCCTGCAAGTCCCGTCCGACGCACACACGGTGGACGTAGATTGGGGTGGTGCCAAGTCCGTGATGTTCCCCCTTCCTCGATCCTCGAAGTTCGAGGATCGAAGCTCCAGGACAACGCCCGTACCTCCTTGGGCCTCTGGGAGCCTCGGGGAACCTCCGCTGGGACCTCTGGAGACCTTCGGAGAACCGCCCGCCCCTCGTCGTACACCTCCTCCTCCTCCTCCTCCTCCTCCTCCCCCCTCTCCGCCGTTCTCCTCTCCACCAGTGACAACGAGGGAGAAGGACTACGCCAAGCACGCCCACGAGGAACAGGACGGGGAGTCCGAGTCTTCATCATCTTTATCATCTTCGTCCTCCCTCCTCCTCCTTCTCCCACCCCCCTCCCCCTCGACCTCAATATGTTCCTTGATAAAGAACTCTTCCACGTCGCACCACCAAGCGCGTCGCTATGGCGGGCAATGTGGGTCGCTTGAGACCTCTTTGCACGCGGTCACACTCAAGCTTGACTGCTAACAGCTGCATGGATGGTGTACCGTTTTCAAAACGTCTGGAAGCTTGCATAAGCCTCACGGGTGCAAGGCGGGTCGCTTCCAACATGTGGATCGACCGTGAACGCTGTGGAAGCGAATATGTAACAGTTGTGCGGGTTAAGGGCGGCTCCTTTTCATATGAGCTGTGCTGATCGTTTGAGCGCTGGGGGCGTCATCAGGGCGCGCAACGTTTAATGTTTTGGCAAGTGCTGGAGATCATCTCGTATTTCTTGTTCCGAATGTCAGATATCATGCCGCAGGTACCGATTGACATATTGGAGATTTCCGAAGAATCCCAAGGTCCCTTCGAGTCCTCTGTAGTAGACATTGTATTGATGAAGGGGCCCAAACCTGCAATTGCTAGATTTCTTGGCGAACCCCGCGTGACTATCGGGGTTCGCAGTCGTTGGCCTTGTCGCTGATTGGGGGGGGAACTGTGAGGCGGCAATCTCGGCGCGCACGCGACTTCCGCGTAGGCTCGCACTTCCCAGCTAGAGGCGTGGAAAGTGACAAAATCGCACTTCAGGCGAAGGCCTTCTGATTGATCCGAGCCTCTGCTGCCGCGGGAGTCGGTGACCTCGCGTCCGTCGGAACTCGGAATCGAGTCCTCCGTCGTCCAGGGGAGGGGAGGAGCCACGGCCTTGGCGGTTCGGCCTGCACTCTAAATTGATTTCTGGGTCTGCTCAGGCCGATCCCCGGCTTCGGTTTGGCGGCCACCCCCCCCTCTGCTCCACTGCTTGCTCCTGCACTTCCCAGACTGTTTCTGGATGAGCTGGTGGGGAATGCATATTTTTATATATATATATACACACATACATATATAATATGTATACACACCTATATATATACACATAACGCACACATGTGACTGAAGTGCGAAGACCAGAAGGACTTAGTTCATGACGTAATGAAACAGGCGCTCTTCCATGAAGATCGCGCCACCTGGGGCCGACCCCCCCTCCGCCTCGGCCACCTCCTCCTCGCCCTCGCCCTCCTCACCCTCGGCGCGAAGCGCCAGCGGTGCCAGCAGCCCCGCATGGAGGACACGAGGAGCCGCGCCAGGCGCACGGCCGGGTCCTGCATCACGCTGGCCACGAGCACGTTGGCCGAGAAGCAGACCAGCAGGGCGAGGAAGCTGCAGACCTCGGCCGCTCGGCGGCCCTCTCGGCGAGGGGCCACCGCGGGCGGCGAGGGCTGCTTCGGCGGCAGGACGGGGGCGTCCCAGGCGGGTCCCGACTCTCGGGAACCACTTTTTGCGTCGCGGCACGGCGGAGGCAGTCCGCACGGGCGCTCGAATCGTCGGGGGCGCTCGACAAACGAAGCGTCCGGCTGCAAGAAGGGGCGCTCTCAGGAACCACAGGCAGGCCCCGCAATCTGTAAAAATGTGGGGGCCCTCTCGGAAGATCAGCCTCCGACCTCCTCCTGCTCTTCTTCCTCCAACTTCTTCTCTTCCTCCTACTCCTCCCCAAACTTCAGACGCGGTGCTCCCGATTTGTTCTAACGTCGTTGCCGATGGAACTCTCGACCCCTTCGCGGGGGTGGGCTGGTGTTCCACCCACGATCAGCCGTGTGGGGAGGACCTTGACGTCTGGGCGTCGTGGAAATTATCCTGACGAAGGACCCCACCATATGTAATTGTGCGAAACGCGTAGTGAGTGCCGCGTCTGGTGGGCCACGCAACGCGTGATGGGTCGTGCGGTAATGGGTTGGGGGGACATGCGGGTGGTCCCACTGGGGCCTTCGAAGGAGCTCCCTGTAGGGCCACAAGACGCTGTACTGGGTTGTGGAGACGCATGCGGGCGGTGATCCTGGGACCTTCGGTGGAGCCCCCATATGGGGCCACGAAACGCTGACCTGGGTATGGCGGACGCATGCGGACGGTCCCACTAGGACCTTCGCTGAAGCTCCATATGGGGCCACGAAACGCTGTACTGGGTGTGGCGGACGCATGCGGGCACCCCCATTGGGGCGTTCGGTGGAGCTCCCTATGGGCCACGAAGCGCTGTACTGGGTGTGGCGGACGCATGCGGGCACCCCCACTGGGGCCTTCGGTGGAGCTCCCTATAGGCCACGAAACGCTGTACTGGGTGTGGCGGACGCATGCGGGCACCCCCACTGGGGCCTTCGGTGGAGCTCCCTATGGGGCCACGAAGCGCTGTACTGGGTGTGGCGGACGCATGCGGGCACCCCCGCCGTGGCCCTCGGTGGAGCTCCCTATGGGGCCACGAAGCGCTGTACTGGGTGTGGCGGACGCATGCGGGCACCCCCACTGTCTCGTAGAAATCAGGTTTTTGTCTAGAACGCTAACAGAAGTTGGCATGTGGATTTCTGTACTCATATTCAGTGCTCGAGCTTTCTGTGCGCGGTTTCCATATCGAACTGTTTGTTTGACTTGGCTCGTGATCGAGCCCCAGGCATCCTGCCCCGAGGAAAGATACACTCTTCCTATTCTACACAGTGGAAGTTGATTACTGATATCATCTTATTATCTCAGCGACTTCTCTTCGAGTTAACCTCGACGAGGCGATAAATCATTGGTAGTGCGGAGCTTGGTTGAATTGTTTATCTGGACTCAACGCTCTCGATATGGCATCATCGAGCACTGGCCAAGGCGTCGAGATCCAGAGGATTCCGACGTGGGATGGCAAAGCGGAGACCCTGGACGAATACCAAGCGGAGGTGGAGCTGCTCACCCTGGCGACCAAGGAGGACGACAGGAAGCTGCTGGGACCCCGGCTGGTGCAGGCTCTCCCGAAGAACACCGCGCACAGGAAGCTGGCCCTGCGTCTGCCGCGGACGGAGGATACACCAGACACGATCGTGGGAGAAAAAGGCCCGGAGAACCTATTGAAGGCCTTCCAGAAGAGTTTGGGGAAGCAAGCATCAAGCGATGTAGTGGACAAAGTGTTCGCATACTATTACGATCGGAAAACGTCAGGCCCGAGAATAAGAAAGCTTGGGCAGACAATCGGCCTCTACGCGGAGCAGGAAGAAGATGCCTACCAGGAGATGGAGAAGAGCGTCCGGGCTATATGTCCGGACATCGACGCGATCGACCTGATCCCCGACGAGCTGCGCGGGATCATCTTCCTCGTGAATGCGGGCCTCGACCCGAGCGAGCGAGCCACTGTGGTGGCGGGCCTCAGCGACTGGTCCATCGAATCGGTGATCGACAAGCTGAAAAATGTATGGTCGGACAAGGACCTGGCCGCGAGGGACAACATAGTGGCGAGGCGCAGGGACCTGAGGATCCAGAGCACCCGTGACAATCGTCGCGATCGTTCGAAGATCCACTACCAGGAGGACGAGGACGATCTCGACGAGGTCTACTTCGAGGGTAGCAACGAGCCCGACGAGGAGGACGTCAATTACGAGGAGGAGGCCGCCGCCGAAGAGCAGATCGAGGAGCTGGAAGCATACGCGGAGGACGCAGAGGTGTATGCGCAGGACGCCCACCGTACCTTCACGGAGGCGAAGAAGATGCTGGCGGAGGCGGCCAAGAACAGGAGCGGCTACTTCCCGGTGGTCGGGATCGGGCAGCTCCCGGAGAAGCAGCAGCGCGACACGCAGAAGGCGACGGCGAAGGCGGCCCTGCGGCCCACCAAGCCCCCAGGCCCACAGGGAGGGGAGCGCCGTGCTCCTCCACCACCACAACCAGGGAGCCGCCGTCCGACCGGCAAGGGCAAGGGCCGTGGGATCAAGTGCCTAATATGCCAGGGCCCGCACCGCGCCGTGGACTGCCCGAAGCGGCTAAGCACCGGAGTCGACGGCAACAACATGCAGATGACCACCGGGCAGGTCGGTTTCGTGGACGTCGAGACCGACGAGACGAACTACAGCAACGAGGGCATCCCGCCGGAGGATGGCCAGGCGGGCTGGGTACACGAGGAGATGGTCGGCTACGCGATCATTGACACCGGGGCCTCCAAGAGCATGATCGGCCTGGACCTCGCCATGGCGATTCAGGACACGATCTTGGAGGAGACGGGCAGTGACCAGGTCACGATGGACTACAGCAAGACGACGAAGTTCACCTACGCGGGCGGCGAAAAGGGCCAGTCCATCGGGAAGTTCGGGTTCGAGCACCCGGTGGCGCTCGTGGAGGACGATAATAAGCTGTGGTTCGACCTTGTGGAAACCAAGTCCCCGATGCTGCTCGGCCTCGACTACCTCGAGAAGTCTGGTGCTGACCTGGTCAAGGACAGGTTGGCGCTCGTCTACCCCGACGGCCATGAGGAGCCAGTGGTGAAGCTGTCCAGCTCCCACTACGCACTGCCCGTCCTTTGAGGGTGCCCAGCCGGAGGCCGAGACAACGCCGAAGGATTGGGAAAAGAGAGAAGTTGTCAAGTTTGTTCTCCCATCGATCATCGATCGCCCCGAGTCTCCTGGAAAGACCAGAGTCAGGATAACATGAAGATCACGCTCATTAATTCAAAAACCACTGCAATTCTCCAACACAAAGAAGCAAACAGCGTGCAGAAAACGAAAAGCCTCAGTATGGGGACCTCCAGGGAGCCCAAGGTGAGGACCCAGGCCACACATGCACGAGACACTGCACTTCATGAAGTACGGCTACCACACTTACGAGACAGGCCATGTCATGGAGTACGGCTACCACATGTACGAGATAGGTCATGTCACGCAGTACGGCTACCACAGGCACGAGCTAGGGCATGTCAACATGTACGGTTACAGCAGGCACGAGAGAGATCGTGTCATAGAGTTCGGCCACAGCATGCACCAGACAGGCGATTTCACGCACACGCATTTGCAGCACGCCATGAGAACACGGAGCAGCACATGCCAGACATATGTCCACCGCCTCCGAAGCCATTTTCGCCAAGCAGCTGCTCCGGAAGGAGCTTTCGTGATTTCAGCAAGGAAGATATTCATGTGCAGTCCGCAGGGGCCATGGGTATCATCAGAGGTCGAGATCTCGGACGAAGAGTTCGAGTGGGACATGGTGGGACCGCCCAACGTAGAGGAGGGCTCTCCCTCCTCAGTGCCGCCCTCGCCGTCGGCTGCGCCTGCGACGGAGGCAGGCCTGATCCAGTTCTACGAGGACCTGAGGGGGCAGGCGCTGGAGCTGTTCGCCGTGACCGACCCGGACACGAAGGAGGAACTGAGGGATCAGGCAGCCAGACAGGCGGCCAAGGACGGCCTGCTCGCGGAGACGGCTCGTCGAGCAAGGGCAGGAACTCTACCCACGTCCTGGAAGTACCTCCTCGCCGAGGCGGAGACCGCCTGGGCCAAAGATCAGGGTCGCAGCCTGCAGGTGGACGCCGAGGTCAGGGAGCTGCCGACGGTACCGAGAACCAAGCCGCGAGGATCAGGACAGTCGGATCCGAAGCCCTCGGTGGGCCATCCAGTGGGACCCCCAGAGAGCAAGGGGACACCCGCTCCACGTCCAGAGCCAACGACTCCTTTCATCAAGAAGCTCCCCTCGGGCAAGAATCGGAACACCAAGACGTCAGCCAGCCAGCCGGAGGACCCAGACCAACCGTCGAAGACCATGGAGCAGGCTGGACGCAATCGGTGGCAGCGGCTCGTGTTGAGGATCCAGTCCCGCAAGCGATGGTCCCAACAGGCTCAGTTGCTGAAGTACGCAAAGAACGGGTGCCCCAAGAAGTTCACGGAGGCGAAGGGCTTTGGAGCCCACATCGGAAGGTGGAGCTGGCGGGAGATAAGCTACGAGTGGTAGGTCAGCTACCTCAGCGAGTGAGACACAAGGTGCTGCAGGCGGCCGCGAAGCTCGACCATCAAGGGATCCAGAAGTTGTCTGCCATGGCCCGAGAAGGCCGAACCGACCTGCTGGAGATCTGTGTTCCACCGGACAGCTCGCTGGGCAGCCAGGTGGAGAAGATGGGAGGAGTGGTCACGAGGATGGGCTTGTTCAACCTCTTCGACTTCTCCAAGAAGGCATCGGTGCTCAAGGCGAAAGAACTCATCAGCAAGGAGAGACCCCGCTGGGCCCATGCCTCCCCTCCGTGCTCACCGTTCTCAGCACTACAAAACGGAAGGCCCAACACCATCGAGTCCCAGGAGAAGCTGATGAAGGTAAGGAAGTGGGGTCGCAGAGTCATGAGGAACGTCCTGGAGGTGCTGATCTACGCTTGGCGGGAGTTCGGCACCGAGATTTCAGT